TCATATCTTGTTCAGTGTTGTATATAGAGTTCATATCCCGTTCAGTGTTGTATATATAGAGTTCATATCCTGTCCAGTGTTGTATATAGAGTTCATATCCTGTCCAGTGTTGTATATAGAGTTCATATCTTGTTCAGTGTTGTATATAGAGTTCATATCCTGTCCAGTGTTGTATATAGAGTTCATATCCTGTCCAGTGTTGTATATAGAGTTCATATCTTGTTCAGTGTTGTATATAGAGTTCATATCCCGTTCAGTGTTGTATATATAGAGTTCATATCCTGTCCAGTGTTGTATATAGAGTTCATATCCTGTCCAGTGTTGTATATAGAGTTCATATCCTGTTCAGTGTTGTATATATAGAGTTCACATCCTGTCCAGTGTTGTATATAGAGTTCATATCCTGTCCAGTGTTGTATATAGAGTTCACATCCTGTCCAGTGTTGTATATAGAGTTCATATCCTGTCCAGTGTTGTATATAGAGTTCATATCCTGTTCAGTGTTGTATATATAGAGTTCATATCCTGTCCAGTGTTGTATATAGAGTTCATGTCCTGTCCAGTGTTGTATATAGAGTTCATATCCTGCCCAGTGTTGTATATAGAGTTCATATCCTGCCCAGTGTTGTATATAGAGTTCATATCCTGTCCAGTGTTGTATATAGAGTTCATATCCTGCCCAGTGTTGTATATAGAGTTCATATGCTGTCCAGTGTTGTATATAGAGTTCATATTCTATCCAGTGTTGTATATAGAGTTCATATCCTGTCCAGTGTTGTATATACAGTTCATATCCTGTCCAGTGTTGTATATAGAGTTCATATTCTGTCCAGTGTTGTATATACAGTTCATATCCTTCCAGTGCTGTATATACAGTTCATATTCTGTCCAGTGTTGTATATAGAGTTCATATTCTATCCAGTGTTGTATATACAGTTCATATCCTGTCCAGTGTTGCATATAGAGTTCATATCCTGTCCAGTGTTGTATATACAGTTCATATCCTGTCCAGTGTTGTATATAGAGTTCATATGCTGTCCAGTGTTGTATATACAGTTCATATCCTGTCCAGTGTTGCATATACAGTTCATATCCTGTCCAGTGTTGTATATAGAGTTCATAGTCTGTCCAGTGTTGTATATAGAGTTAATATCCTGTCCAGTGTTGCATATACA